TAACAAGGGATAATGCTAAGGGGAGCCCTCAAAGTGCCTGTGAGAAGATTACAAGGGTTGCCCTGTTCTAGAAAAACTCAAGTGAGCACCCTTTAGACAGGTAATCTTCTAGAACATGGATAGTTTGAGTGCTATGAAAACACTGATCCATCTCTTCCTGAGAAATCTCAAAAAAAAAAAAAAAAAATGAAGAGAAGTGTGGGCGACAATGAAAGGTGTTCAAAGCCTGGACTAAGGATTTGGAATCCACAGATCCAAGTGTAATTCCATCTACTGCAGAACCTTTTCTTAGCTACATTTCAGCTGTTTGAGCCCAAGAGTAATAGCACTTACTAGATTTAGTATGTCTTTAAAATACTGTCACAGGCTGTATGATGACATCATGCATTATGGAATGCATACTTGACAGTAGCCTCATAGATTATCTAGTAACATTCTTGCCAGCTTAGTTATACTAAGTCCAAATGAGAAAACTGCATAAGGACACATTTTTCAAGATGAGTACTTTCACTAAAACATGTGAGTGCCTTTTTAAGTGGAAAAATGATATAAATTAGTTATAAAAACAGTACAGCTGGTCCCTCAGCTTCCTCCAGTGATATTGACACAATTATAACACAGCATCAAGACCAAGAAGTCAAATGCTAATGAATTATAATTAGTTGAACTATAAGGAGCTCTATTTAACATTTAAAAACCAGACTAGGATATAGGAAAGCTTCCATATAAGCCTTACACTAATGTGTGTAGGTATTATGTATACGTGTATTACAAAGACTAACGAAATCCCAGAGATCAGCACAATCATATGATCAGTGCTCTAACACAAAGCAGAATTCCACTTGAGCTGCCTTCCTAGCCCATCTCCACAGGTTCTCTCAGCACATACTACAGTTGCTGAAGACTTAATGCATATTCTTTCTTGGGCCTGTTTTCTTCTGATACAGTAAAAACAGATGCTAGCTTCAGAAGGGGCACGGGTTCAAATGCAAGACTGGAAACATCAAGGAATGCAAAGAGGGCTTGAGGCTGAGTATGAGATGACCAAGCTGATCTGATATGAAGGAGGACAGGATCTGGGAAAAAGGCAAAGTTAAGCCTCCACTCTCTTGAGCCCCCACCAAGGAGCACACACAAGTCAGCTTTCTGCATAGCTTTGCATCTAATACAGCTATTTATCACAGACTAAACTGTAAGTAAGAGCAGCTTCTAAGAAGCCCCCATTTATCCCAGAAAGGAGATAATCTCGAATCATCTTGCACACAGGGAGCTAAATATGAGGCAACCAAGAACAACTGCAGCTATATCTTGATAGCCATGGTAAGAGTTGACTCCCCATAGAGAGTAAAAGAAAATGGTCCATGCTAACACTACAAGCTGGTCATGTAAACATGAGAAGAAAGCATACTTTAACTAATGTGCAGAAGACCTAGACAAGGTCAGAGACCAGGGATGCCTGCAAGGTCAGTGAACTAGCAGATAGCCAAAGCCATAAGCTAACCCTAATTGGGCAAGCAGCCTGAGTACAGCATGTTATCATCTCCCTGGTTGTGTCAAGAGGACATTTAGTGTGTGTGGGTTCCCTAAGTGGCCCATGATGTACATACTCAAAATATTAACTTAGCTGGAATCACCCCACTCTTGCCCATCTTCTGCTATAAGCCCAAATGAAAGGCTCTAGGCCAGTAGCTCAATGGCTTTTCCTCTCTGGGGTCTCTACCTCCTCTCCAGAGTTCCCTCTACTTCCCTCATAAAAAAAAACAAAAACCACGCTCTCACTTTCTCTTAGTTCCCCTTAAAATTTTTGTTTTCACTTTGCTTACTTCCACGTGTCTGTCTTTAGTAACACTGACAATGAACTCCAGAGCTATTGACTCAGGTTGTCTTTTAGTGACTAATGAGTATCTGGCACCCCAGTTCCCCAAATCCTGCAAACCTGGGCTGAGATATGCCCATGCTCCCAAAGATCTGCATCACTCTTCCCCAGTCTACTCTTCATGGAATCTGTTCATAGTATACGCAGTTACAGGTGCTATCCCTACGCATTCTAGCATCCACTATGCAAATAAGCTGTGATTTTCCTATCTACTCATTACTGGTGGCATCTGGTAGCTCTCAGTTTGGGGCACTTATAAAGAATGTTTCTAAGAACATCAGAGTACATGCCTCTGGTTGACAGTACACACATATCAATTGGGTATGAAATTAAATTCGTGGCTCCTATAGTATTTGTGTAGTTTTATCGTGGTTAGTTTTGTAAAGTGTTGACCTGAGCTCCCATTAATGCACAAAAGTGACACAGCTCCACATTGCTTATAATCTACCAGCTCTAATGGCTATTTAATGTATGTTTTAGAAAAGAACATTACAGAAGCATGTATCATATCAAATAGACTACTACTGTAATCAAGGCAGGAAGTTTTCTCTAAAGTTCCAGGCTCTGCTTAAAGCATTTTGCAAAGCAATACAATCTGAAATTGCGAATCTGGTCTTCAAATCTTGAATTAACTAGATCATTTAGCTGCTGCTCTTGCTGGGCACATCAGACACCACGAATCACTGGGGATGCTTGCTATAGACATACAACTTAATACACTTTCTCCTATGAGTCTGAAGGGTATCTTACCAGGCCTGGGAAACATTCTGTATAGGAGTCTTTAAGCATTAACGTGTGCAAGTGAATCCAAGCATGAAGTAACTATAGTAAGGGACTCTTTGGCAAGTTTAAACCCTATTGTCTCAATAGGATCTTAGTGTCTGGTTCATCTGAGGCCCATGTGCTTTGCTTTGGAATTCCCAACAGTACTACAACAATCACAGCAGGCCACATCGTATACAGTGCTTATCCTCAGAGGAAACTGTTTTATTATTTACTGGGCTACAGAAGTTTGAAAGGATAGTGCTACATAGGAAAGAATGAGAAGTGTCATGCTGAGAACATGAAGTATCCCTACAGGACCATGTTCTGCTGTTCCACAGTTGGCAAGACCATTTTTGGAGGCTCTGGAGTCTTAAAGGGTGGGGCTTTACCAGTGGAAGTAGATTACTAGGGGCAGGCCTTTGAAAGTATAGACTGGCCTCCAGTTCTGGCCTTGTTCTATGCTTCCAGGTTCTCTATTAAGTGCATAGTATCAGCCACACATGACTACTGCCATGCCTTTCTCACCAGGATGGAATTAATTCCTTTCAATCTGAGGTTGGTTGCAATGGAGTGTCCCTAAACCCATTTGGCCCCAAACAAACACAAAGACATATTAATTATGAAACTGTTGGCTGGTGGCTTGGGCTTCTTATTGGCTAGCTCTGTCTTAACTATTAACCCATTTCTATTGATCTATGTAATTCCACACATGGTCTTGGCTTACCAGAGAACGCCTTGCGCATCCTTTCTTCCAGGGCTCTACATGACAACTCAGTCTGCATATGTTTCCCAAAATTCTCCTCTTCTCCTAGCCCTACCTATACTTCCTGCCTGGCCAATCAGTGTTTTATTTATCAACCAAAAAGAGAAACATATATATATGGACAACCCCCATAAGTTGGTAGTGCTAGGTACTGTTTTCACATTGAACAAAAGTAACTAACTAGAGAAGCAATGTCATAAAACCTGATTCCAAGTACTAGTGAAGCATCCTTTAACCAAGTTCCTCCTTCTAGTGATGCATCCTTTCAACCAAGGTCCTCCTCCTAGTGAGGCATCCTTTCTACCAAGGTCCTCCTCCTAGTGATGCATCCTTTCAATCAAGGTCCTCCTCCTAGTGAGGCATCCTTTCTACCAAGGTCCTCCTCCTAGTGAAGCATCCTTTCTACCAAGTTTCTCCTCCTGGTGAAGCATCTTTTACAGGCAGGTCCTCCTCTGTGAATCTGTTCTACACTGCTGCAGGGAGGGCTATATAAACCAGGACATATGAAGGACGTGACACAGCAGGAAAGTGATACATCTGGCCTGAATCTTCCAGGCTTCTCCTGGAATCATGCACCTGATAAGGTTAGCAATTGCTTGGTAAAATTTTTCTCATTATCTGTACATTGGAATTCAACATCTGTAAGAGAAGGGAATTAAAAGGAAAAAGAAAAACCTGCACCATTCCACATATTTCTTTACTTTCATCTTGGTTGTTGAAAGCCAGAAGTCCCCTTACTTACAGCTAAAAGTGATTACAAACAGTAATTTGGAAAAATGTAGTAAAAAGAAGTAACTGGAGGTAGCAGAACACTATAATTTAAAAACACAGTTGAACTCTTCCAAAACTAGAGAACATTGCTAAGGGCAATATACAAATGATTTTTTTTTTAACTGCAGCACTAAAACCACTTGAAAAAGCCAACATTTCAATTTGGCCTTTCAGACAGCTTTCTAACATCAACATATTAAGTAGTCAAATGGCATTTATTCTGGAGATCAAAATGTTTCAAGTATTGTATTTCATTTGTAAAAATGCATATGAAAACCATTTTTATAAAAATAGATCTAATTCCATGTAGCCAAAAGAAGCCTACCGTGTTTGGTCTATTAAGCTATGGAAAGCCTATTTGAAATGCTACCTGCCAATTACTACATATAAAAGGTGATTAAGAAACATTGGTGCTATAAGACGTCCCCCCCAGCTCTCTATGGTTTGGTTTTTCTAATCATAAAACTGGTGAAAAACTTTGGAAAACACTAGCACTTAGGTGGGGGAACAGAACAGTAAGACTTTCACTTAGAAGATAATTTGTAACTATAGGTTGGTGTCATTTATGCATTAAAAGTCACCATTAAAATCTCAAGTAGGCACGCTGAAATAAAGAAATAACCTGTCAATAATCTGTAGAGTACAGGAGAAATCCTTGAGTCCCTGGTACCTCAGTTCCTTCTCTAAATGTGATGTCACTGTGTACCGTACAGGAATGAGGGTGGTCTAGAGGAGAAATGTTGAGAACAGTAACCAGCAAGCTCCCTAAGCCATAACAGTCATTACTAATGTCCTCAGAGAACCACTGTGTGCTAGAGGACTCACGGGGCACTGTCACACCATAGTGCTGTGTGTCACTGATCAACAGCTTCCGCTTCAGCTCGTTCAGCCCGACCCCGACAGGACCTGAAAAACAAGGCAGAGAGACTAAGAACAAGGGTCTAATCCTGCATTCCAAGCAAGGAGTCTATTTCTAGCTAATCTGTACACAGGAAAAGAATTGGGTTTCTAGAGTTGCTTCAGAGTAGTTTATATGCCTACCTTTTTTCTTCCTAGAAAAAATAAAACATATTCAAGAATACTTTAGCATATTACCGAATAATCCATGTACAATAGCCTAAAATATGTTCATCTACAAATTGTATTGTACTTCATTTTTAAATATTTTTGGATTTCAATAAAAGGAAATCCTTGGCCTTGACTTAATTTTGGAAACAAATTCGATTATGAATTTTAAATGTGCAAAGCCATGTTCACGCTGAGCTCTGTCATGACATTCTACCCTACAGAATTTCAGACAGTCCTAGGCATCTGAATTTAAATCCACCAAATGCACACACACAGAACATATGATGAACATGACATGTGCTATGATAAAGAAAGATGGCAGATACACATGGCATTTAATGAAAATGGCTGGTCAATGAAGCTACTGGGGCTAAACAAAATATACCCAAAGAGTGGTTGTGAACAGCAGCCTGAAATCCAAAGTCATGAAGGTGATCAGCCTCAACATTGGCATTCCTTCCCCATCTTAAACCTTACACAACTTGTGGTTAGGTCTATGGATGAACTGTAGAGAGATGCACACAGAACCCTGGCCTGAGACCAGCCTACCTAGAGCTAGGTCCCCACTTGTGCCTATCCAAAGTGTTCCTCCTGTGATACTAGAGAAGGTAAAACCCACCCCATCAAGGTCAAGTGCACCCTCAGTCAGCATCACAAAGCTCCCTTTCTTGGAAGAAGGGATGAGAACTCAGCACAGCACAGGTGCCTGCATTCCTTTATCTCCCCTTTCTCCTCATCTGGGGACCAGAGGCATCCTAGTGAAAGGGTAATGTTAGACTTGAAAGCACAAAGAGCTGAGGCCAGACAAGTGGGCACTGTGAGTGAAGGGAAGGGTGTGAGGAGAGGCAAAGGGGCAGGACTGGGAACCATACCTTCCCTCCCCACTGGCACTTCTAGCCCCCACCCTGTCCCACTACTGCCTTCTACCTTTTCTCCATGACTGTCAGGAGCCTGTTTCTCTGTCAACTTCCCTTTCTTTCCTAAGACTCAATGATATGCTCAAGTGGTGTTCACAGTTACTACAACCTAGTAGAACATACACTTCCCTCTCCAAACTATATGCTCCCCTAGCGATAGCATAACAAAGAAAAGAAAAGAATGTAATTTCTGACAATACAACCTGTATTTCGGTATACACACGCTTGGCATGATCAGAAAAACAATGTGCACAAAGCCAGATGTCTGTATCCACCTAGGAGTTCAGATTTAAGGGTTCAAGAGCCATAATGTACAAACAAGTACTGAAGCAAGACCCCTGGGTAGAGATAGAGTCAACCCTAGCATTTGGATTAAAAACCGTGACCAGGTTTAGCTGAACATGAAGAGTCATGGATCTGCTACTGCGATGTCCTCCCTAAAGTTAGGTTAAAAGCTTGGGCGGCAGCTGATGTGACTGGATCATAAGGACTTGGCTTGGCCAATGGCTGAATGGTGGAGTACAAGTCAGAAGGCATACCTTGCCCTTGGAGCCTGTCTCAGTTTCATTCTTCTTCTTGACCACCATGAAATGAGTAGCATCCTCCCCACCCCCATGCCCTTCCACTCTGGTGCTTCTGCGTTGCCAGGAGTCTCAAAGCAATGTAGTCAACTGGCCATGGCTTGAACCTCTGAAACCATGAGCCCGCACGAATCTTACTCATACTAAGCTGTTTGCTCACGCATTTTGCTACCGTGACCAAGGTGACTACCATAAAGAGAAAGAGGAAGGCAACCTTAACTGGCAAGAGGACAATAGGTCAAGCGTATCAAAGTGAAAAAATACAAATGACTGGACTTGAGCTTAAGGGCAGCATGAGAACATTAACCCAAGTAATGGAAGTGCATCCAATGCCACAGAAGGCTGGCTTCTAGCCCAACCCTAACTTTGGGTTATGTACCAAGTTCATGGGTTTCCTACACTTTCCCACTTCAAAGGAGCTACCCCACTAATTACACATGCTTGCTTACTCCCCTTGATCCTCTAACAGACTGTGAGGTCCCTGAATACAAAGACATCTCCTGCCTCACTCACCTACTATTTCCACAGCTGGCAAATTATAGGCACTTAAGTGTCTGTTTCTTGTTATTGGAGCAAGAGCCCAGGGTCTCACACGTGCTAGGCAGGTGTGTTACCAGTGTGCCACATCCTCGGGGCCTCGATTTAAATTTCACACCAATGTGTGCTATCATGGGGGTAAAATGTGAGTGAGCTATAGGCATGGGGGTTGAGGTTAAAAAGCATGTGCACTTAGGTCGCCTGGATGTGGTGGTCAAACAATACATTCCAGGACACATATCGAACAGGACTCTTAATCTTCAGCAAAAGCAGAACAGAAGGTGACACGTACTGTTTTGCACAGTGAGTTTTAGGAGGGAACACCAGTTCCTTGGCATCCTGCCAAGGGCCACAACACACTGAGGAGGAGAGGACTGAGAATCTGTGTGAATGTTCACACAGTCAAACCTGATACCGGAGAGATCTCTACGGGGAGTGGCAAGTAGATAGGCACTTACCGATGGTGCCACTGAAACCACACAAAGGCTACATATTCCATAAGTCACAAAACATGAAGAATATATTCTTGAAAAAAGAAAAGGAGTGTTTCAATGGAATACCATTGTGAGTACCTTCCATGTATAGATGAAGTGAACCCAGTTACTTATGTCCCCAAGCATGCCAAATACTAGAGCATAACGGGCCCTGCTCCAGCAAAGTTGGAGGGAAATGGGTGTTTTTCACTGGTCTCAGTCCAGAAGTTCTTCCTAGAATGAGAGATCTTTTGAGGAGAAACAGAACTCTCTTCATTTCATGCACTATCCATATCACAAGCAAACAACCTAAGAACAAACACTCACCCCCCAGCCTCCAAAACCAATGCTTTATTTTAGCTCAGGAAAAAAAACTAGGTGCATGACTTAGTAGGAAAAGTTATGCAAAGCCCAGGATGTCACTCCTAACTTCTGGTCACACTCACTTTCAGTCCCATGAACCTCATCCTCACAAACCAATTCCAGCCACCCAATCATGAAGTCACACTCATTCACACCAGGAGGAAAAGATTTTGTCTGAATTTCCCAAGGTTTAGATTGTTCTAGATCATAATCTGCAAAGGCAGACATGGTCACATAAAATGTCAAAAGGACAGAATTTCAAATCACTTATTATAAAACTGCTTCCCTGTAGGGCTCCTGAGCTCATTTTGCACCCATGCTGAGGAGAGATGCCAGTCTCTTATTGACTCTGAAAAACAAAAACAGAAACAAAGCCCCACATTCACACCTATGGCCTATAACTCCCTTTTCGTGAGCGGGTAGAATCACATCACTTTTAGTTAGCTTCTTTATATTTAGAACATACGGTCTATGTGCAGGCAATGTGGGGATATGAACAGGTTAACACATACATGTGCCTCTGCTAAGAGGATTCACTGTGCCCTTCAATACATAAACCTTTATCACACTTAGTGAAATACATTCATGAGCACATAAGCAGATGACTTTATAGTTGTTTGTTTTTAATAGTTCTTGTTAATGATAAAGTGGATGGAGGTTGATGCTTAAAATCTTCAGCTCATACGGCTTTGGTTTGACAGGGACTCTAATAGGAGAGGTTTTTGTGTGGCAGGCATCTGTTACACAGAAACCTTCAACACATCTCTAAAACTGTCATTATCCTCATGTTATAGAGGAGGAAGCTAATTCAATGAAAGGTGGGTCTTTTGCTAAAGGCTGCACTCAAATATGGCTCCCAGGTTATTCCAAAGTTCCTGTGACTGACAAGTCTACATTTCCCCACACTCTCATCAAAACGGCCTAGATAAAGCATGAAGTCAGGCTCTGCACTGTCCATGGTGATGGCTTCCAATGTCCAGGCTTGCTCACTCCTTCCTGGTGCCCATACTTCCAATGGTGATTGTCTATGCTTATGGCTAAGAAAACTGGTATCAATAAAAATCTGCTCAGCTCTCCACATACATCCTGAAGATATGCCAAGACACTCTAGGAAGGCTAAAATAGCCCTAAGTGTGTACCAAACCCGGATAGCTTAGATGCATCTATTACAACATTTTCCTTTTATTACATTAACTAAAACACAATGAAGCTGAAGCACAAGTAAAAGCCCCAAAGTTGACTGAATCGACTCTAGCATATTAATTTGGAATTGAGATGGTAAACTAAGGTTGATGCTTTTTCTTTTTAAAAAGAAAGAGTGTTCATGGTCAAGCCAGGAATGCCATTCTGCAGCTGATTCTTAATAGGAACAGTCTCTCCTGGAGGAAGGAGTGAGGTTCTCAGGACTTAGGGATATCACCAAGAAAGGTGTGCCATTCACAGGCCCCTCCTCAGCAGGACATAAATGCCACGGGGAGGAGAATCTTGGGTGGAGCTGCCTGTGTTGTGTAGGGAGCTCCAGGGATGCAGGTTTTGTAAGTCATCTTCTATTTGGGATGAACCAGCCCATGATGCAGCTGACCCAGAGTCACCCATACCCTTGTAAGTAACTCTGACAAGTTCACTGGTTAGATTTGTATGGACTTGCTTCTTTGGTGTGTTGTCAGTGTCCTACTTGGGGTGAATAGATGTTTGTTCATGTCACCCCAGGAAAACTTATGGAACAAATGTAGATTAATTCATTTTATAAACATTTCATAGGGCTTAGGATAGAATTCAGTGGTAGTCCGCTAGCCTAGTACGCTCAATGCTACAAATTCAATCCCCATATAATAATCAAGTAAACAGGCCAGAGAGATGGCTCACAGTTAAGAACACTCAATGTTCTTCCAGAGGACCTGGGTTTGGGTCTCAGCACCCACATGGTAGCTCATAACCATCTGTAACTCTAGCACCCTCTTCTAGCC